TATTGTATAAAACGGTGCGGTGGTTTCGAGGAGATTCGATTGCTCGGAGATCTACAAGTTCCTAGATGGAGATCACAGTCGAGGTCAACGCAAGGCCATGTTTGCAGTAAAGAAATATTGCTGTGATAATCCAAGAAGATGATAGACACGTCTACATCAGATCTGTGTATGGCGTTCTTTTCTTTTCCCTCTCTTCCTTTTTTCTGGTAACCTAAGGCTCTTTTTTTTCGAATAAGCTAACCTAAGGCTCTGATAAGTCCAGTCATGCTCATTACTTACTAATACTCCCTCCAAAGGTATCAGAAGGAGTAACTCATATTTTTTGTTTGCTGCTGAAACTGCGAAAATTGCTTTTGGAGGCCGAGCTCCATAGAGACCTCCTTTTGCAAAATTCAAAATTCATCATAATTTCATATTTTTATATTTCAAAAAGTTCTGGAAAAAAATACAGATATACATGAAGGCATAATGTGCATGTGTGTAAATTTTCAGAACAAAATACGTTGAAAAAAATCTGAGGCTTTTTAACACATGATACTATTCATCCTCAAAGTCCAGAAATTTGTCTTTTTTGTACAGGTCGCATTTCAAGATATTTCATCCTGAATTTTTACACACATATACATTTCATCCTTCTATACTTGCATATTTTGTTTCACATTTTTTTGAAACCGGGAAGTTGGAATTTTGCCTTTTTTTAAAAAAAAGAGCTCCATGAAGCTCGATCACCAAAAGGCCCTACTCCTGAAACTGATGTTTCTTTCACACCCTTATGTTCAGCAAAAACAAAATAAAATAACACTTGTCATGTGTATGTGTGGCATCTTGCAAGTTGCCAGCCCAGGAATTCAGATTCGAAAAAAGAGGTATCTTACAGCACACTTAAAGATTCATGAGCCTGACACGGACCATGCAGGTAGCTTAGGTTTAGTCCAAAGTCCAGACTAAACAATGCTACTCGGGAAAGTATGAACTAATCACCCAATAGGAGAGCATAAACTAACCGGCCACCAGATCCACCAGAAGGCACCCAGCGCAGGAAGCAACACTGATGTTTCACCCATCATCTCCACAGCAGCATATTAGCACGTGATTTAATTAATGCCTCCTAGTAGTATGCACTGCCACTGCAACCCAGTACTATATTTCAAACAGGGGAAGGAATCTCATCATATGGGGCTGTGGATCCAACGGAAGGGAAATGAAATTTTACTGACTTGAGCAGAAGCTTCTGCACACCAACTTAATTAGGAGGCATGTAAGTAATATGGAATTTTCTTGGTAGTTTACTTACTTCATCAGCAGTAAGAGGGAAACATTTCATTCATTACCTTCATGTGTGGTTCAGGAAAGCACATATTTCCGTTACCACGCATCTTCATACGGCTGCATCTAAATGCCGGTTCAGTAGCTTTTACAGAAAATAGGGAAACTTTAGAATTTCGATAACGGCACACAGGATGCCGGATTGTTTCTCAGAAAGCAACATCAATAAATTCCATATCAGCTGATGTGGGTGCCTATAAGTTGCTGTC